TGGACAAAATCCCGAATAGAAGTCTTCATACCTCGCCAATGGAAATCATCCCGGACGTGGTGTAGCGTTTTCTGAATGCCCTCATGGGTGGAGTTATGGATGCTGGTGATGATGTTGGAAATCAACGGGGAGTCTGGCGGAAGGTGTACCCGGCCTTTATATAGTACCAACCCGTCTCGAAGCGACCAATTGGAGTCGGTAGCGTCGGACTTGATCTTCTGGACCAGGAGCGACCATTCCGGAGACTGTGGCGTTGCCTTCTTGATGTCGTCTAACAGAGAGATCTGGGGTTGGGAAATTCCACACAGAACCATCGCGTCTTCATCTCGCCTAGACAAGGCCTCAGCTGCGCGATTTGAGGTGCTCACCTTGTATTCCACCTGGAAATCGAACCCGAGCAATTTGCTAACCCAATGCTGYTGAGGGGAAGTGGTGAGACGTTGCTCCAACAGGTATTTGAGGCTGTAATGGTCAGTTTTGACGACGAACGACCGCCCCCACAAGTACGGCCTCCAGTGCTGGACGACTCGGGCAAGGCTGATTAGTTCGCGCTCATAAGCTGGAAGCTTCAGATGTCGGTCGGCCAGTCTGCGGCTGAAGAAAGCAATCGGGTGCCCTTGCTGTTGTAACACGGCCCCGATACCCATTCCAGAGGCATCGCACTCGACTGTAAATTCGAGAGCGAAATTTGGTAATTGCAGGATTGGGGTGGAAGACAGGGCATTTCTCAGTTTCAGAAAAGCTGCATCGGCTGCGTCATCCCACCGGAAGGAATTTTTCTTTAACAGGTTGGTTAACGGGGCAGACAACAATCCATAATTCTGTACAAATTTGCGGTAGTAACCCATTAATCCAAGGAACCCACGTAAGGCCTTGGCTGATTGAGGCTTGGGCCACTCCTTGATAGCCTGAATTTTGGAACTATCAACCGTCACACCTTGCCCGTGGATGATGTGGTCGAGATAAAGAACCTGTCGCTCCTTGAAGGAGCACTTGGACCGTTTGAGGAAGAGTTTGTGTTGGCGCAGGAGCTCGAAAACGGTCCGCAGATGGTGCACATGCTCTACCCATGATTTGCTATAAACGAGGATGTCGTCAAAGAATACTAAAACAAATCTGCGCAGATGGGGCTGAAATACCTCATTCATCAATGACTGGAATGTGGATGGCGTTGGAGAGACCGAATGGCATGACTAAAAATTCGAAGTGGCCATGGTGGGTCCGAAAGGCTGTCTTCTTCACGTCATTGGGAGCCATGCGAACCTGGAAATACCCGGACCTGAGGTCCAACTTAGAGAAGTACTGAGCACCATGTAGCTCGTCCAGCAGTTCGCCCACAACGAGAATAGGGAACTTATCCTTGATCGTTTGGCCGTTGAGCTCTCTGTTGTCAACACAGAACCTCCAAGTTCCATCCTGTTTTGCCACCAACAGAACCGGCGAAGAGAAAGGGGAGTGGCTCGTGTATGATCACTTGTCTCTGTACATTGTTTTTCTATCTCGTCCTTTTGTAGGTGAGGGTAGCGATAAGGCCGAACAACGACTGGTTTTGAACCCGCCA